GGGGGGGGGGTTACCCCTGAGGGCTCCAATTGCCCCAAATGCAGGTGTTTGATGCCACCAACACGACGAGGGAGCGCCGAGCCCTCATCCTGCAGTTTGCAAGGGAGAATGGCTACAAGGTACTGATGGCAATTTCTTTTTTTTTTTGGGGGGGGGGCCGGGCCGGGGGGGGCAGCCCCGGCCTCCAAGCGAACCTACGCCCTCTCGGGGGGGGGGCGGGGGGGGGGGGCACGCACCCTGCTCTCCCTGCAGGTCCTGTTTGTCGAGTCCATCTGCGACGACCCCGCCATCATCGAGGAGAACATCAAGGTGAGGTGACGCCTCCCTAAAACGCATCCCTTACCCCCCAGCACAAGCCTTCCCCCCCCCCGCCTCTTTTAAACTGTAGCCCCCACCGAAGCGTGACGCCCCCCCATCCCCACGCAGCAAGTGAAGCTGAGCAGCCCTGACTACAAGGGCTGCATCCCGGAGGAAGCAGTGGCTGATTTTTTGCAGCGCATCGAATGCTACAAAGCCACCTACGAGCCCTTGGATGAGCAGCTGGACAGGTGACACCCAGCTGCATCCCCCCACCCCCCAACCCTGGGTTTGGGGACAGCATGGGGGTGATGTGACACGAGGTGTGTGGGGATGGGGGTTGGGGGGCGCGCAGCGGGCTGTCTTACATCAAGATCTTCGACGTGGGCGTGCGGTACCTGGCCAACCGGGTGCAGGGCCACGTGCAGAGCCGGACGGTGTACTACCTGATGAACACTCACGTCACACCACGCGCCATCTACCTGAGCCGCCACGGGGAGAGCCTGCTCAACCTGAAGGGACGCATCGGGGGGGACGCAGGGCTGTCCCCCCGGGGGCGCCAGGTGGGGCTGGGGGAGGCCATGGCCTCTGTGGGGTGGGTTGGGGTGGGACAGCAGGGATCGCAGCGGGGGGGGGGGGGTGGCAGGGGAAATGGGGGCAGGGGAAATGGGGGCGTGGCTAAGAGAGGGCAAACCCCAGGAAACACCAAATATGGAAGTGAAAGGGTGGAGCTAACAGAAGCCACGCCTCCTGGGAGAACTGTTCAATAAGAAGCAGGACTGTTAGGCCACGCCCCCCAAACAGATACAGCTATATATTGAGAAAGGGGTGGGGCTAAAAAGAGGCCGCACCCCTGAAGACCACACCTGACCAATAGGAAAAGAGGCGGGGCTAACGGAGGCCACACCCCCAGCACCCACTTCAGTCTTTGCAATTTCCACCAAAGCCACGCCACCAAGAACAACTCCCATTGGCTCTTTAAAAAGGGTGGGGCTAACATAAGCCACGCCCCCTCCCCCTCCTCCCAAGCCAATCTAATTGGTTGTTGAGGAAAGAATGCAACCAACATAGGCCCGCCAACGAAGAGAGGGCAGGGCTGAAGGAAGCCACACCCCCATGAGCCAATCCAATTGGTTGATGGGAAAGGGGTGGGGGCTAATAGAGGCCACACCCCCATGTTCCAATCCAATTGATGAGAAAGGGGTGGGGGCTAATAGAGGCCACACCCCCATGAGCCAATTCAATTGGTTGCCAAGGACAGGGCGGGGCTAATCGAGGCCACGCCCCCACAAGCCACTCAAAATGTAGATACAGAGGAAGGGGTGGGGCTAATTAAATAAGCCCCGCCCCTCCAATGACACACCCAATTAATTGACATTGCTAAGCGGCTCAGGATCAAACCGCAGCCTCATTAACCACCACAGCCATTTGCATACAGCCAGGGGCTAAAGACAAGCCCCACCCCCAAGGATGACGGGGTGAGGGGGTGTCGAACTCAGCCCCACCTCCTCAGTACGCCCAGGCCTTGGCCGAATTCATCCGGAGCCAAAGCATCCGCGAGCTGAAGGTGTGGACGAGCCACATGAAGCGCACCATCGAGACGGCCGAGGCGCTGGGCGTCCCCTACGAGCAGTGGAAGGCGCTCAATGAGATCGATGCGGTCAGCGTTTGACGGGGGGTGCGGGGGGGGGGGGGGGCCGGGGGGTTCTCCCAAATAACCCCCCCGTGTGCCCCCTTAAAACTCCTCCCCATGGCAGGGAGTCTGTGAGGAGATGACCTACGAGGAGATCCAGGAGCGTTACCCCGAGGAGTTCGCCCTGCGCGACCAGGACAAGTACCGCTACCGCTACCCCAAGGGCGAGGTGACAACAGCAGGGGGGCGTTGGGACAAGAAAGGGGGTGCTTGGAGACACCCCCCCCCCCCCTCAAAACACCCCCCTCACAGCAGCCTCTCACCCTTCCCCACCCCAGTCCTATGAGGACCTGGTGCAGCGCTTGGAGCCCGTCATCATGGAGCTGGAGCGGCAGGAGAATGTCTTGGTCATCTGTCACCAGGCCGTCATGCGCTGCCTGCTGGCTTATTTCCTGGACAAGAGCTCTGGTGAGGCCACAGGGACAATTTGGGAACGAAGCCGCGCTTCACTCCGCCCCCCCACTCCCTCCTCATTTTATGATCGGCCCCCCTCCACCCCAGAGGAGCTGCCCTACCTCCGGTGCCCCCTGCACACAGTGCTCAAGCTGACCCCCGTGGCTTACGGTGAGTGGGGGGACACAATAAGTGTCACCTGGGGGAGGGGGAAAAAGAAAAGGACATCGCCCCGTGTGCGTGCCCCCCCTGCCATCAAAAGGGACGGCCCCAGCTGTAGCCTGGTCCCTTTTGTCCCCTCCAACTCCTCTATGGGGCAATCAGGGTGTGAAGTGGAGTCCATCTTCCTCAACGTGGAGGCAGTGAACACCCATCGCGAGCGGCCCCAGGTGAGGGGAAGACGGAGGGGGGGGATGGGGGGGACACAATTTGGAGGTGAGAAACGGGACCCTAAAAGTCCCTGTTAGCACAGCGAAGGGGACACAGCATTTGTTGACCCCCCCCCATGGTGTGGGGGTGCACGATTTGGGGGGAAACGATCACATTTTGGAGTGAGAAACATCGCATTTTGTACCGCAGAATGTCGACATCAGCCGCCCCACGGCCGAAGCTTTGGTCACCGTTCCTGAGCACTACTGAGCCCCCCAAACCCCCCCGGATAATTAAAGCTTGCCTTAACAAAGAGCCTGGTGCGTGCTGGGGAGCTGAGCACCCCCCAAAAGAACACAATTTTATTTAAGGACAAGGGGTTCACGAGTTGGCCTTGGCTTCGTTGTATTGGCTGATCCAGAAGCTGGGCTCCTTCTTCTGCACCTGGGGGCAAAGAGGAGTTAAAAAAATAAAAGGGGAGGGGGTCAGGTTCTGCCCTGGGCCCCCCCCCCTCCAAAAAAGACCCCCATACACCCCCCACCTTCGCCACAAAGCTCAGAATGTCCTTCTTGGAGGTTTCCTTGGCAGCCCTCGGCCCCCATTGGAAATTGAACTCGGGGGGGTCCGTCAGGGGGATGGGGGTGACCTCCAGGTACCTGCAAGGAGCAATGGGGTGAACCCCCATGTTTCAGTGGGGGGTGGGGGGGGTCACAAAAGGTGTCCCGTTGTGTCCCCTGCCCTGTGATGTCACCTTAAAGCCACGGGGGGGGGGGGGGGGGACAACAGGGGTTGCTCGGGGGGGGGGTAAAAACCGCGGGGGCGCCGCTGGCGCCGGGGTTGTTTGGGGACCCCGGGGGTCCCCCCCCCCCCCCACAAAAAAAACCAACCTCCCCCCTCCTCAAATTGCATCCCCGCCCTCTCTTTGCACTCACTTCTGTCGCACCAGCTCCTCCGTCACCAGCTTCTTCACATCCCCAAACACCTCGTGCTTCTCCCTGTGGGCGCGCCGTGGGGTGAACGAGGGATGGAAGCACGCAGCTCTGGTCCCTCAATTCTTTTCCCCCTCCTCTCCCCCCCCCCAGAAAAAAAAATCCTACCCTGGGTGCACCCGGAGCCGGCGCAGGAACTCCCATACAGCACCTAGGGGGGGAAAAGGATCAGCGGGGGGGGACACAAGGGGAAACTGGGGACTGGGGTAACAAGGGGAGCTCACTGTCTTTGGCTGAGTTGCCCTTCATGAAGATGAAGCTGAGGATGACGATGAGGAGACCCAGCTTGGCTGTCTGTATATCCCTGTGGCAGAAAAAGCACCACAGACCCAAAAAGTGGACTTGGAGGGGGAAGGGGCCTCTCAACGTTCCCCCCACCCCAGAAACATCCACCAGCCCCCTCACTGTTTCAGGTTCTCCCCCTCGACACGCGGCAGGGTGCTGGTGAGGATGTAGATGTGGTGCTTGGTGTCAATCTCCACCATCTGCAACCCAAACACCTGGCAGGGGAGGGGGACACAAGGGTTAACTCGGCACAAAGAGATGGGGGGAGGGAGGGAGAAACTGACCCCCACCCCTTTGCGCCCCCTCATACCTGCTGCAGGGTCCTGCCCGCCCGGTTGACAATCTCTGAGTAAACATCTTTATATTCACGGATAACTTTTTTCAGGATGTCTGCAGAAAACAGAGGGGTGGGGGCAATCCTATAAGGTTTTGAAGAGAAGGAAGCCATCCCATAAAGATTTGGAGGGGATGACTCTGTAAGGAAAAGGTCTCTGGGAAATAAGGAACATCTAAACTCACCTACTCTTTTAATAGGGATTTTCTTCTGGTCTTTCACAAGCAGGAACTGCACCAGCTCGGTCACCTGTAGGAAAACAAAAAGGGAAAAAAAAATATAGATAAAAAGAACAGGAAAAAGTCCCCCAAAAAGCAAAGAAACTCAACAGACGGCAAGAAAGTGAAACTGTGTGCTCACAGGGAAGGGGCACATCCCCTCCCCCCCCCCCCGACCCCTCCTCCC